GGGCTGCATGCTGTGGCATGATCCTCGGCTCAACTGCAGCTTCTGCGTTCCTGGGTTCAACAACATCTCCGTCCTCAGCCTCGATGGTAGTGGGACTACCCAGGCGCCCCCACCACGCACGGCCTAATTTGTTTTGGATTTTTGCGAGTAAGAGATGAGGTTTCAACCATGTAGCAGGATGGTCTCGATCTCCTGATGGCCTTTCATGGATCCGCCACGTTGAGCCTCCCAACAAGTGCTGGGATAACAGGCATGGCCCCCGCGTGCCTGGCCTATATTTTTTTAAGAAATAGGATCTTGCTGCCGGGCGGCTAGGTGGCTGCTCACGCCTGTATCCTGCCTTTGGGGATGCGCGAAGGCCGGCGGATCACGAGGTCAGGAGATCGCACGACCATCCTGGCTACACCGCGTGAAAAACCCGTCTCTACTAAATACAAAAATTAGCCGGGCGGTGAGGACGGCGCCTGTCAGTCCCAGCTACTCGGGAGGCTGAGGCAGGAGAATGGTGCGACCCGGGAGGCGGAGCTTGCAGTGAGCCGAGTGGTGCCCTGCACTCCAGCCTGCGTCGGGATCAGAGTCGAAGACTCCGCCTCCAAAAAAAAAAAAAAAAAAAAAAAGAAATAGGATCTTGCTATGTTGCTCAGGTTGAAGTGCAAGGGCTAGTCACAGGAGTGCTTATAATGCACCACAGCCTTTGATCTCCTGGGCTAAAGTGATCCTCCCACGTCAGTCTCTCAAGTATCTGAGACTACAGGAGTGTACGCTACTGTGCTCAGCCCTATGATCAATTTTAAGTTAACTTTTGTGAAAGGTATAAAGGTCCAAATTCATTTTTTGCATCTGAGTATTCAGTTGTCTCATTTTTTTTTTGTACTAGTCATTGCTAGTATATGGAAACAGGGGCCAGGGTCAGTGGTTCACACTTATAATCCCAGCACTTTGGGAGACTGACGTGGGAGGATCACTTGCCCAGGAGTTTGAGACCAGCCTGGGCAACATAGTGAGACCCTGTCTCTAAAAAAATATATAAAAAAAAAAAAAAAATTAGCCAGGTGTGGTAGCACACATCTGTAGACTCAGCTACTTGGGAGGCTGCGGTAGGAGGATCCTTAAGCCCATGAGGTCAAGGTTATAGTGAGCTATGATCTTACCACTGCATTCCAGCCTGGGTGACAGACCAACACTGTGTCTCTTAAAAAAAATAATAATAATAATTAGGCTGGGTGTGGTGGCTCACAGCTGTAATCCCCAGCACTTTGGGAGGCTGAGGCTGTTGCATCACGAGGTCAAGAGATAGAGAGTATCGCTTGAACTTGGAGAGAGGTGGAGGTTGCAGTGAGCCAAGATCACACCACTGCACTCCAGGCTGGGTGACGGAGATTAAAGACAAAAATATAATTGTTGGGTCTTGATGTTTTTTTTTTTATTTCAAGATGGAGCCTCACCCCGTTGCAGTGGCCAGAGTGCAGTGGTGTGATCTTGGCTCACTGCAACCTTCACCTCCCGGGTTGAAGTGATTCTCCTGCCTCAGTCTCCTGAGTAGATGGGATTACAGGCGCCCACCTCCACGCCTGGCTAATTTTTGTATTTTTAGCAGAGATGTGGTTTCACCATGTTGGCCAGGCTGGTCTCTAACTTCTGACTTCAAGTGATCTGCCTGCCTTGGCCTCCCAAAGTGCTGGGATTACAGGTGTGAGCCACTGTGTCTGGCCAGAATTGTTGGGTATTGATCTTGTACGTTGCAACCTTACTCAATTTATTAGTTCTAGGAGCTTTTTAGTGAAGTCCTTAGGATTTTCTCTATGTAAGATCCTGGTGGTTTTTTTTTTTTCAGATAGGGTCTCACTACCTAATGGCATGGCTAGATTACACAGTAGACATACTGTTAACTTTTCAAAGAAACTAGCAAACTGTTTTCCAAAGTGGTTGTGACATTTTACATTTCCATCAGACGTGTATTTGACCCTAAATTTTAAAAATTGATCTGATCTCTTCCCCTTGATAGGAAAATCTGAATGTTTCCAGTACTTAGGAGTGTGCCATGTCCTAAAGCCTCATGTATACAAAACAGCATTTAATAAAACCTGAGAGGTACTCTGGGAATATAAAGGGAGCATACCGCCGTTTCTTTTTTGAGTGGAAGCAGTGGTCAGGAAAGGGCATACAAAGGGTATAAACTCTTGTTAAGCCTAGCTGCTCACCTAAATCTTGGAAGACTTATGTTTTCAAAGGATGAATCTACCACAAAGAGAAAAAATTTTATTAATGACAATCTTGAGCAGTATAAAACTCAGAAGCTCCACTGAGGTGAAGGAAACATGGACATGATACTAAGCAAAGCCTCGTCTTTTCCATAAAATGAATAAGTACATTTGGTGGAGTTTGAGACCAGCCTGGGCAACATAGTGAAACCCTGTCTCTAAAAGCATTAAAGCATTAATCCTCACATTTCGATAGGACTATGTAGCTTTCAAGTAAGCAATGTTAGAATGAGTTGTAGAGTTTTATTTATGCAAATATAGTGAGTGACAGATGGCAATTACATGAGGCTATTTGAACAAAGATGCAAAAGCCTAAACAATTTCACCTAGGTAAAATATTGATGTCATAACCAAATCATGGCCCCGTTTCATAAAGGTTACTATATTCTACAGAGACTGAAGAGGTGGCCTTTCTATCCCAGCTTACCCTATTCTTGTTATTGTTTAAATTCTCCTGAAGCTTGTATAACTAGCTGCCATTAGATAAATGCTATTGGCTAGCAGAAGACTGCGGTTCTGTTAATATTAGAACCAGCAGGGGGAACTTGACATTAAAAATCTAGGAACAGAATTTTAGGATGTATCTCATTAGAAACCTGAATTTTATAGGGACTTAAGTAAAAACCATCCCAAAGAATGTGAGCTTTAAGGTGATAATGTCTTTTCAGAGATCGTAGCACATGAAGAACCCACGGACACTACATACATGGACACTACATAGAATATGAACAGTTAGCAGAAAAAGATCTTGTGACTAAAGTGGGGAAGACATCAAAAAAAAAAAAAAATTTACAAAAGGGAAAAAGTTCAGAATACAGGAATATTTACAAGATGTTAAAAAATTATTAATCTTCAGCCAAAATGAGGCCCCTTCGCATTCCCAAAACCTTTGCTTTCTTCTCCTTTCGTTCTTGCTCGCGTTTCTTCCGTTGCTCTTCCCTGAGGGGGACAGGTCACAGGTTAAGCTCTAGGGAGGCTCCACAACAGACACTTTAGAGCAACTATTGTTGGACTAACACCCAAACTTTCAAGCAATGACATCCAGTATACTTGTGTAAAACAGACTCTTAGAGGGCACTGTGCTCCGTCTAGTGTTTCTAACACCTGTTTGTCATTGTTGTGTTAAAGGGCTAGAAACTGGTATTTGCCTTTTGCTAACTCAGCACTCTGAAATCATGCATGGAGGCTGGGCACATTGGCTCATGCCTGTAATCCCAGCACGTTAGGAGGCCAAGGCAGGCGGATCACTTGAGGTCAGGAGTTCGAGACCAGCCTGGCCAAAATGGTGAAACCCCGTCTCTACTAAAAATACAAAAGAGTTAGCCAAGTGTGGTTGTGCATGTCTATAATCCCAGCTACTGGGAGGCTGAGGCAGGAGAATCGCTTGAACCCAGGAGGTGGAGGTTGCAGTGAGCTGAGATCATGCCACTGCACTCCAGCATGGGCGACAGAGCAAGACTCTGTCTCAAAACAAACAAACAAACAAAAATAAATAAAATAAAAAAATCATACATGGAATTGGAATCAGAAGATACCTTGGTGATTGAATCCAACTCTTATTATTTTACAATTTGCTTTAGGCCAGATGCAGTGGCTCACACCTATAATCCCAGCATTTTGGGAGGCCAAAGTGGGAGGATTCCCTGTGCCCAGGAGTTCAAGGCAAAAGTAAGCTATGATCATGCCATTGCACTCCAGTCTGGGCGACAAAAAGTAAGAACCTATCTCTAAGAAAAAAAAAATTGTTTTAAATGAGAAATGTCTACACCTAGAAATCAAAGGCGTGGTGGCTCACACCTGTAATCCCAGCACTTTGGGAGACCAAGGTGGGTGGATCACCTGAGGTCAGGAGTTTGAGACCAGCCTAGCCAAGATGGTGAAACCCCATCTCTACTAAAAATACAAAAATTAGCTGCACGCAGGGGTGGGCACCTGTAATCCCAGCTACTTGGGAGGCTGAGGCAGGAGAATCACTTGAACCCGGGATGGAGAGGGTGCAGTGAGTCAAGATCGCACCACCACACTCTAGCCTAGGTAACAGAGCGAGACTCCATCTCAAAACAAACAAACAAACAAAAAAAACCAAGATAAGTTAATATAATCTTGGGCTTTTTTGTGTTTTTTTTTTTCTTTCTTTCTCTTTTTTTTGGTTTGCCTAATCCTCTGAAAGAAAAGCATAATGGCTAACTCAGTAGACCCTGATTCTAGTTCTATTCCTTTCACTAAACTATGTGATTTTGAGCTTGACCTTTGACTTTTTTTTTTTTTGAGACGGAGTTTTGCTCTTGTTGCCTGGGCTGTAGTGCAATGGTGCAATCTCAGCTCACCACAACCTCTGCCTCCCGGATTCAAGCGATTCTCCTGCTTCAGCCTCCAGAGTAGCTGGGATTACAGGCATGTGCCACCACGCCTGGCTAATTTTGTATTTTTAGTAGAGATGGGGTTTCTCCATGTCTTGAACTCCTGACATCGTAATCCACCCGCCTTGGCCTCCCAAAGTACTGGGATTACAGGCGTGAGCCACCTCACTCAGCCAACTTAATAACAGTGAGCAAAGGCCTTGGCGCAGTCATGTATAGCCATGAGTCAAATGATAGGTAACCCTGTGTCACGAGGTTCCAAGCAGGGAATCTGGGCCCAACCATGACTTGCTACAACCCAGGATGAGCTCTGGCTTTAACTTGGTTTTCATGCTGAAGGAAGCCTCTAAGGACCGTCCTGGGTTCTCCTCTTTATAGGGCCTTGATGCCTTGTAAGCCTGGCTTCCTTAGGAGTGAGGAATTGATGTCTATCTGGATACGTAGGTGCCCTGGACTGCTGGGCATTGGTATCAGGAGAGATACCCACATGCCCTGTGTTGAGGCAGATGAGTCATGCAAGAGCAGTGCTCTGAATCTGGGTCTTCTTCTGAATCACCTGCAGAGCTTTGGAAACAATGCAGGTGCTTGGGCCTCACCCCAAACCTGCTGATTTGGAGTCCATTACACTGGAACCTAGGCACATGTACTCAGAAAGTTCTATATATGATACTACTTCTTTTCTTTTTTTTTTTTTTTGAGATGGAGTCTCACTCTGTTGCCCAGGCTGGAGTGCAGTGGCACGATCTCGGCTCACTGCAAGCTCTGCCTCCCGGGTTCCTGCCTCAGCCTCCCGAATAGCTGGGACCACAGGCGCCCGCCACCACACCTGGTTAATTTTTTTTTTTCATTTTTGTATTTTTAGTAGAGACAGGGTTTCACCGTGTTAGCCAGGATGGTCTTGATCTCCTGATCTCATGATCCGCCTGCCTCAGCCTCCCAAAGTGCTGGGATTACAGGTGTGAGCCACTACGCCTGGCCCATGATACCACTTCTAACCTCCCCTTAAAACAGAGTCTCTATCCCTCAGAGGTGCTGCTTTTGAAATTAATTATAAAGCTGGATAATTATGTACTTACTTTGTCTGGAGATGGGGTTGTTTGTAAGTTTTCTTGTAGAAGTTAATTCTGTTGACATGTTGATTTAGGTAATTATTTTCTTTAGATTGCCCCCATGGTTTTAGCTTTCCTAGTTTAGGACAGAGACAAAGAGTTTTAAGAAGATTGTTTGATTTATATTCCCAACTTCATTCCCTTCATCTGTGGTTACCTGCTATTGACAATTATACTTTTTTCTTTGAGACAGAATCTCACTCTGTTGCTCAGGTTGGAATGCAGTGGTGTGATCTGATCTTAGCTCACAGCAACCTCCGCCTCCTGGGCTCAAGTGATCCTCCCAACTCAGACTCATGAGTAGCTGGGACTACAGGCACACGCCACCATGCCCAGGTAATTTTTGTATTTTTTAGTAGAGATGAGGTTTCGTCATGTTGCCCATGCTGGTCTCCAGCTCCTGTTCTCAAGCAATCTGCCTGCCTTGGCCTCCTAAAGTGCTGGGATTACAGGCGTGAGCCACTGTGTCCAACCAATTTGCAATTTTACAAAAAAGAACTGGGACCGAATTTCTGGAAGTTTACGTGTTGCTTTTGTTTTGTTTTGTGTTTTTTTTTTTGAGGATGGGAGTCTTGCTCTGTTCGCCCGGGCTGGGGGTGGCAGTGCCGGATCTCAGCTCACTGCAAGCTCCGGCCTTCGGGTTTACGCCATTCTCCTGCCTCAGGCCTCCCGAGTAGCTGGGGACTCAGGCGCGCGCCTCCTTCCCTGGCTAGGTTTTTTGTCATTTTTTGGAGTAGAGGATGGGTTTCACCGGTGTTAAGCCAGGATGGTCTCGATCTCCTGGACCCTCTGTGATCTGCCCTGCCTCGGGCCTCCCAAAGTGCTGGGATTACCAGGCGTGAAGGCGCGCCACCGGCCTAGGCCTTTTTTTTTTTTTTTTTTTTAATTTTTTAGACGGAGTCTTGCTCTGTTGCCCAGGCTGGAGTGTGCTGGCACGATCTCGGCTCACTGCAACCTCTGCCTCTGGGGTTCGTGCAATTCTCCTGCCTCAGCCTCCCGAGTAGCTGGGACTACAGGCACGCACCACCATGCCCAGCTAATTATTGTATTTTTAGTAGTCGAGACAGGCTTCAGTGGCTATCTATAGGCACAGTCATAGCATACACTACAGCCTTGAACTCCTGGCTGCAAGTGATCTTCCCAGTTCAGCCTTCCATATAGCTGGGAGTACAGGCATACATACTACTACACCTGGCTCTATGTCCTGCTTTTCTTTTTTTATTGAGATAGGGTTTCACTCTGTTGCCCAGGCTGGAATGCAGTGGTACAGTCATGGCTTACTGCAGCCCAAACCTCCCTGGCTCAAGCAATCCTCACATCCCAGCTTCCTGTGTAGCTAGGATCACAGGCACGTGTCACCATGTCCAGCTAATTTTTAAATTTTTTGGTAGAGATAGGGTCTTGCTAAGTTGTCCAGGCTGGTCTTGAACTCCCAGGCTCAAGTCATCGTCTTGCCTGTGCCTCCCAAAGTACTGGGATTACAGCCATGAGCCACTGCACCCTGCTGAATCAAGTAATTATTAATTGTTTAATGAAAAGTCTTTTAAATCACGGGTCTATGTGGAAGCAGAGGCAGGGGAAAGGAATTCTAGGTAGTCACATACGGCTTCCACTGAGTCACTGTAGCGTATTTTTTTTTTACAAACTTTAGTGGCAGAAGTTGTTTTTCTTTTCTTTTTTTTTTTTTTGAGGCGGAGTCTTGCTGTGTACCCCAGGCTGGAGTGCAGTGGTGGAATCTTGGCTCACTGCAAGCTCCACCTCCGCCAGGTTCACGCCATTCTCCCTCCTCCAGCCCTACCGAAGTAGCTGGGACTACAGGCGCCCCGCCACCATGCCCAGTAATTTGTTTTTGTATTTTTAGTAGAGATGGGGTTTCACCATGTTAGACAGGATGGTCTCGATCTCCTGACCTCGTATCCACCCCGCCTTGGCCTCGCGAAGGGCTGGGATTACAGTGTGGAGCACCACGCCCGGCCCTGTTTTTGTTTTCTGAGCATGGTCCTCACTGTGTCACCCAGGCTGGAGTGCGCTGGTGCAATCGGCTCACGCAACCTCTGCCTCCTAAGGTTCAGGCAATTCTCCTGCCTCAGCCTCCCCAAGTAGCTTGATAGGTGCCCACCTACCATGCGCAGGCTTATTTTCTCTTATTTTTTTTCAGTAGGATGGGGCGTTTCACCAATGTTGTCTCAGGTTGATCTCAAACTCCTGAAACTAAAGTGATCTGCCCACCTCAGCCCTCCCGAAAGTGCTGGGATTACAGGCGAGAGCCACTGCACCCACAGCTGCAGAATTTGTCATTCTTAAGTTGGTCATTTTTTTAATTTTTATTTTAGATGTTGAGTTTCGCTCTGTTACCCCAGGGCTGGAGTTGCAATGAAGCAGTCCGGTCACTGCAAACCTCCGCTAAACAGGTTCAAGCAATTCTCCTGTCTCAGCCTCCCAAGCAGCTGGGATTACAGGTGCCCGCCACCACGCCTGGCTAATTTTTGTATTTTTAGTAGGCATGAGCCACTGCATCCCACCAATCTTAAGTATTTTATAGGCCCTGTAGCTTAAAACACTCCCACGTACCTTTGTGTGGTTCATAGTTGAGGGGACGAGACAAACTTGCTTTAAGATCAAACACTGGTTTCTTATTGGAGACTGGAGTCTGCGTTGCCTCAGTTGTCAACTTGAATGGGGTAATAACTAAAAACACACCAAAGAAACCGAAGAGCTTAATTAGAAACAAAGACCTGTTAAAGCGTTTATCAAAGTGTTACTTCTCAATCTTAAAAATACATGTTATAGGCTGGGCATGGGGCTCACGCCTGTAATCCCAGCACTTTGGGAGGCTGAGGTGGGCAGATCACAAGGTCAGGAGATTGAGACCATCCTGACCAACATGGTGAAACCCTGTCTCTACTAAAATACAAAAAATTACCTGGGAGTGCGGTGGCTCACGCCTGTAATCTCAGCACTTTGGGAGGCCGAGTCAGGTGGATCACCTGAGGTCGGGAGTTCAAGACCAGCCTGACCAACATGGAGAAACCCCGTCTCTACTAAAAGTACAAAATTAGCTGGCGTGGTGGCGCATGCCTGTAATCCTAGCTACTCGGGAGGCTGAGGCAGGAGAATCGCTTGAACCCACAAAGTGGAGGTTGAAGTGAGCTGAGATTGCACCATTGCACTCCAGCTTGGGCAACAAGAGTGAAACTCAGT